TCTATAACTGAAATAAAGACTGGGTTCTGCTGGTATATCTTTAGTAGTCTGCTAACATACTGTACTTTTAAGAGTTCAAACCTCAAGGAGCATGCAGATTTTCTTGCAGGTATTCTAAAACGACCATAATCATATGTCAACAAGACAATTTTGACTTATGGTGACCCTTTTCAGGGTTTTCTATGAAGTGGTTCTCAGAAGTGGTTTACCACTCCCTCCTCCAGTTTAACCAAGGCTACACCTGCTAACTCTTTTCCTGGGAAGAACAGTGGGGAATTAAACTTACAAACCCTGTTTCCAGGGTCATGTACCTAACCTACTAAGCTATCGAGACAGCTGTGGGAATTATAATCAACCACGATATGAATCTGCATAATTCTTGCTAAACATATTTTTTAAATGGGGGAGGTGTGGGGATAAATATGAAGAACACACAATAAAGTCCATACATCCTTAGAAACCATTATATTTCCCTAAAATAATCCAACACATACTACAGTTATGCAGTATAAATTAAGTCAACCATGTGACAGCTAAAACTGAGATGCACCCTAATTAACAAGAAGGTCTTGAGAAATCCTGCTCATTCATGCCAATGGAAGAAGCAGTGTCAAGTACCCAGAAACCATATGGACAAAGGAAAGAGTTTTATACAAGTTGTATCAATAGTCCATCCAGAATTTTTGATACTGTGTTTCAGGGAGGATTCAATTTTTTTAGCTCTACAGAAGATATTAGAGCTTGAATCGCAGGCTTTCTACTCTAAGCCACCATCATCAGTGAAAGTTGCCCCTTTGCTGAAAGTAAGGAAGTGCTTGAGAGAGGGAAAATGTCAGGACAATGGCTTAGAATGGGTATACAGAGTCTAAATACTTTGGCTTAAGAAGGTTATTATGTAGTTTATTGCTATACTATTTTTGTAACTCTATACACATGATCTGGAATGGACTCTGTGGAAAGAAATCCCAATGTGTTTAATCAGGCTTACTCACAAGTAAGGGAAAAATGGAAGCCTTGATCTTGGCAGTGTTCTCCAATTTAACTACATATCCTTTCTATTTCTTCGTATTGTACTGTAATGGGTTGTGTGGATTTTTTGTAATCAGTAGCACTGGTCTCTAAAGACACATTAAACACTGTGTTAAATGGCATAATATAACAGCAAACTGCCAAAATATAAAGTTCCAAGAACACTTGGTGGCATTAATCCAAATTAGAACTAGAGACACACTTTAATCAGCATTTCAACAAGAAAAAGTGTTTGAGAATGTGCATTTATTGAAGTTAATTTCCATTTCTTCCATGAGAAGGTGGCTTTCATACGGTCTAAGCACGAGTCCTCCAAATGTACAGTCCTCTGACTAAAAACACTGCAAAGCTCTGCTCTGACTGGAAAAGGCAGGCACACAAAGCCTCTCTGAGAGCAATACAAAATGTAACCACAGGCTGACGCTCTTTCTACAGGAATAATGAGAAATTCTCCATAGTGAAGAAATAACACAGAACACACTTTGCTTCCTTTAATCAATTCAGTTTAAAACACAATAAGGAAGACAGAAAGTCACAAACAGAAGACAGAAAATCACAAACAGAAGTGCCTGTGTTGTTTGAAACACACTTCAATGTGCTTCCGATTGCCAAAATCCTAAGAAGCTCAAACAATAATAAGTCAAACTGAACTTCTGGATACAGCTCACATACTCTGGAGAATTCAAGCTGATTTTAATGAGTCTGCACCAGAATTTAAAAAAGAAAAAGAAAAAGATTGTAGGTTGGAGCCCATGTTCACTTATAGCGCAATATTCAAAGGAAGAAAAAAGAGTGCCTCTTTTTAAAGACACTTAGCCACCTTTATGTAAAAATCCAGCTTCCAACAATCCAGGAGATTTCATAGCCCTAGGAAGTAGTGCCAGGTCTTTGAGGAAAGATTTGCCCTGATGTTACAAGCAAGAGGTGGAGGGCCAGTGTTCTTAAGACTCAGAAATGCAATAATGAATAATTTCCACATTTCTAAGCACCACCTCTGAAGACTAAAACATACCCAGCAATTATAGCTATTGCAATAAACACTTCTTAAATCACCATCATTCATTGATGGGCACTTCTTTTGCCACCAATACAATGATAACCTTGCTATCACCAGAATTACCCCCTCTTCCCCCACACATACACAGTGGCAAGGTCTAGTGTGAATTGCAGAGGTAGAACTGTTCTTCCCATATAAAAAAACAGCAAAAAGCACTCCCAACCTCATATGGCCATTTGTGTTAAAAGCACAAAATACATTCAACAGCAAGTTCCTCAAAGAAGGTTATTGCTACTGGGTGTCTCAAAGGCTGGAGATTGAAAATTCAGGCTCAGAACAGGCAGAGCCCACAGATCAGGCTTTAGCTGGCAGTCAGTCTTTTGACTGAATGACTTCCTTCTCCCTTCTCTCCCGGTGCTGTGTGGTGCTGTGTGTGCGCTTCTCTCCCTCCTCCCCAACACACAATGGATACGCTTGTCATTTGCTCCCTAGGTTTCTTTACATATGCAGGTGAGGTCACCTCTTTCGGCTCCCTCTATCTAGCACAACCAGAAAGGCAACTTTCAAAGGAAGCCAGAAGAAACCCACCCAAGTTGGAGGCTTCCCCACCCACCCCCATTTCTGACAAATCCTTAGAGAGTTGAACGGGAGCTGGCAAGCACAGAAAGCAGATTGTGTTTGCTTCCACAACAAAAATGCGAGGAGAGAGGAGATAAAATATGTAACAGTCCACAATCTGTACTATAAAAAAAGAGAGGAAAAGATATAAACGGGATGCTTCCTTTACATTTTTAGCTTGTCTTCAGATGATAAAGAAAAGCAAAGACAAAATTAAGCAAGCAAAGAGAAAGGTTTGCTTCTCATTTCAAATCTGAATTTCAAACAGCCTACTTCCCCTGAGTAGTTTCCAAAGATACCAGACTAAATGGCTTCTGGATCTCACTGAATGAGTCAGTCATCCCAGTCCTACGTTAAGTTTACTACGACGTAAATTGCAAAAGAGTTCAGTAGGACTTCCCCCAAATACCTCGTACCCAGGATCGTGAGATCGGAAAGGAAGCAGCGGCGGGAGAGAGGCGCGAAAAAAACCATCGGGGGGAAAATGACTAGCATATACGTGTGAAACGAGGACCGCGCAGCCGGATCTCCTTGCACATTCACTCAAAGCCCCGCTGGGTTCAGTAGGCACAGGAGCCCAGCACGCGAGTACGTGTCGCGAGGATCGTCGTCTACCACTGCGAGCAGACACCTCTATGTCTCTCCCTCTTACACGCACACGCACACGGACACACCACACACAAGTCATCAAACAAGCCATTAACATCTAGATTTCGAAACACAAGCCTCGCAGCGATCACGAAGGCAAGGCATTAAGAGGCAGAAGCCGGCAGTCAGACGGATCGCGACAGAGCCCGGTCGCCCGCCCATTCAGCCACCTGCGGCCGCAACCGGGCTCGGCGTCCCCGCTGCCCATCGGATAGCGCCGCACACGAGGGGAAAAAGAAAGCGCCAGGGGGGAAAGGGGGGCCAGCGTGCCCT